TGGCGGTCCCACAGTGCTCCGGCCCCGCTGGGCCGCCTGCCCCTTCCCAGAGAAATGGCTACAGCGGCTACACACGGGCACAGACATATGGCATGTGCCTATACGTGTATGGGCACATACACGCAGCAGTTTCATATCACAGTAGCTATTTCGTGTTATGTACCACATATAACATCACATGATATGACGTATGATATATGTTTTAGCTTCAGCTAATATATACAGATTTTATGAGCTACATATAATAACAGCTTCCATTGTTGCATATACACATACATTATAATAGCTAAATATGTTATGATTATAGACACTATATATATATAAACAATATATAACATACGATAATAATAATATATAAACAACTGTTATCTATACCCCCCACTATATATTTTACTTACTAAAGGTAGAGTTTTAACATAATTGTCATGCAACCTAATATTGCTTCCACAAACATTCTTATTTCAATAATTTCTGTCTGTGATAAAGATAGCTGGTATATGCAATTTCACTTCAAGTACTTACAAAATCTCACATGGATAAAAGTTACCTCTGGAAGCGGAAAATTTGAGTAATATGAAGTTAGATAGGTTATTAATTCATGATTTAGACCAAAGAAAAACAAACAAACAAAAAATGCATCATGCCAGTGACCTACAAAGGTATTACTATTTTTTTAAGATGGAAATAGCAAAACCTTTTTTTTTTCAGTTCATAATTTCAAAGATTGTTTATTCTTATCAGAGCCAGAAAAGGTTTACATTCAACTTCACAGTCACAGCTTCTTCTAAAAGGCAAACTGATTCATCACCCTCAGGAACTTAACGGTGCTGCAGGATTTTTTTTTGGGGGGGAGGGGGGGGCGGAGGGAAAGAAGGGGGAGAGGAGATCTAATTTAGCACTTTTGAGTGAAAATTCAATCTCATATTTGGTGGATTGGACAAAAAAATGTTAATTTCTTATGAAATTTGAGTATTTTTGCCTCTGTATTGCATATAACGTCTGATTTGAAGCTGGCATAGCATGAACAGCATGAGAAGCAGTATACAAGCTTCTCCTCACTGACTCATAATAAATTTTCCAGCTAAGCTGAAATTGCTCCAGTTTTTCAGTACTGGTCTGCTACTAAAGACAGATAGACACTGGTATTGCATTAGGCTAAATTGATAGCAGTTCTTTCATGCAAATAGTTATTGTGAATATATTTTCATTTGTGGTCCAATCTTACCTTGGAAGATTTTTTTCCAAGTTAAGTTAAACATTAGTCAAGAATTTGGCTTGATCCATAACACATATGAAAATCAATTAATACACTTATTCAGAGATATTACTCAGAAAAGTGAATGACAATGTTATAATACTATTGTTAGCCAAAAATACGTGCATCATCCTTACAGCCTGTGCCAACTTTAGGATCATGCACTAAAATCCATCGAACACACGAGTCAAGAGGGGCTGGAAGGTCTCGGGTAACAGATGCACCCATCTGTTATCCCTGCACCGCCGTGCCCGACACGCTGCTCTGCAAGCTGGAGCTCACCCAGCCCTGCTCACACGCAGCGCCCTTCATGTATCCAGGCTGAACACGCTTCCCAGCTCGTCCTGCAGTGCCAACACCAGCGATTCGAGTGTCACGCTGAGCCAAGCGGAGTCTCTGCAGAAGAACGAAGTGACAAATGCAATTTCGTTAAACTGCCCCCAGGTCCTGGCAACCATCCACAGCTCAGGAGGGAAAAGAACCGTCAGCGTGCTGAGCCCATCCCCTCGCGAGCACAGAACATTACCAACTGGAACTGTGAATTGTGAGCATTGACTTTGCTAGGGGAAATGAAAAAATCAGACGCAGGAAGCAAACATGTTGTATCAATTTTTCCTAGCAAGCCTGGCTGGGCCAAGAAGCAGGAAGTAATGGGATTTCAAAGGCTTCTGGAGAGGCTTGCAGGTGGCTGGGCAAAGAGGGCAGGTTTTGCATGCAGGGGTCTGATCTTTCCTGCAGCCACTGCCACTCGGCCACAGCCAAAAGGTGAAGGAAAATCCTCTGGGAAGAGAATGCTAAAAAACAAAATAACAACAAAATAAACAAAAAAACCAAACCAAACAAAAAACAGTCATCCTCCAAAGGGGCAGTAAAGAAAAACACTCAGGTACTGAAAAGCTTCTGCTTATCCGATAAGAACATCAATAGCACGTAGGCTTGTAGGTTCCTATGTACTTGTGGGCCTCAATCACCTTGGAGGGTGCACAAAAACACCCACTCTTAAAAGAGTTTAGTAGTCCTTTAGGGAAGTAAAGTTCACTTCACCTTCAAAGGTGTAGGATCAGAGAATAAGAGGAAAAATCCTCCCAAAATGCAAAACGGCATTTCTCCCCCAGGGTGTGAACGACAAAGTTGCATAGAAAGGAACAGCTTTTGCCGTTACTCCTGCAGGTGCCCAGGTAACAAAAAATGAAAACCCAGAGGTTTAGGTCTCAGCTTTGTAGATAATTGTTTGAGTTGTCACAGCACGGGCTCAAAGCTTCTCTGTAACCCTTACGAAGTATTGTTCTGATAGGCCTCCAATGAATAAGCGAAGAATTGAGTAGTGGACAACAGCAATTTTAAGTCCAGGTGTAGCCGAGAATTAATTGGAATTAATTACTCCTTTACCTCTGGTATGTTCCTGTGTTATGACAACTAAAACTGAGATAAATGGAAGTGCAGAAAGACTTTTTTGTATAGAAAAACAAATTGGTGATGAAAACCTTCAACTTCATAAATATGCTCATATATTGATAGTCTTTAACAATTCTTCAAATATAGTTTAACCGGCATTATAGTCAGGTTCTTTTTTTTCTCTGAGACCAATAAAATCATCTAATCTCAGGAAGAAGTGTTTCTGTTCACAATTTTACCTGCTTTCCTTAATGATGATACTTGTGTGGTGTAGGGTCAAGTAAGCATAATAGGAAGGACATATTGTATAGGCACACAATATCAAGGCAACCAACTATGATACTGAATTATGTTACTGGATCAGTAGATATTCCTTCCTCTTAATATGTGCACCAAGCTCCTTTCAAAAATCTCAGCGTATGCCACAGTTTTGTGAAACACCAAAAGCCAGTTATGGCACAAAGATCACTGTCTAGAACAGCAAATTCCACGCTGGGAATCACGGAACCACAGAAGCACTACTTTGATAATAAAACCCATTATAAAAGAAAATAAAATGCATAACAAAACATTAACAAAGTTAGTTTAATAGGAACAACAGAAGTTTAGGGCAGCCAGTAGTTTTCTGTATAATCCCACACACTAAAAACTATAAATTAGCTGAGGGATGGAAAAACAAGATATTTGTTTCAAGTCTAGAATTATAGCCAAAACAAACCTATAATAATGCTGCTGTTCAGTAACTAAAGCTGAAAGCCCATCATAAGAGAAGGGCATTTTGTGGAATGTCCATCTTCACATGTTCTTGTGCATTTTTATCAGATTAAGGGCAATAATTATTCTACAGAAAATAATCTAGGAAAACCTACTTAATATATTCTATTTAAACACATTTTAGAATGAGTAATCAAAATATTAATGGTGTGAAGGTCTTTCATGCAAAGAAGCTTTTAGTTAATCTTAAAGCACAGAGGAAAAAAAAAATCAAGGCCACAAAGAGTTATAATGACTTATTATATGTGACAGCACAAACATTCCTTACAGATTCAATAAGGTGAGGGCATCATTCCCTAAATTACAGGTGGTTTTACATACTGCAGACACAGTATGAGAATTAAGTCAGAAGTGAGGTATCTTTGGAAAGCCTAACTGACACTTTACTGGAAGCATCAGAATTTTTAATTTACAGTTCTGTAACTGAGAGCAACAAAAGACAGTGGTGAGCTGTACACAACCATCTACAATAAGACTGCAGTGTGCATTTTGATATCCAATTTTCAGAAAATAAAACCAGTCCTGTAAGCACAGAACCAGGTAAGTATAACTTTTCCCTTGTTCATTTTCCCTTCAACATATATATATATATATTGCTAAGGAAAAAAGATAGTAATGAGGGATGGGACAAATACTTTCTTTGAACTACCACCTGTCCTCAAAATTCCTCCATTGTTCTTCCTAAGTCAGTTATTCTCATTACATCCTTCAGGGTCTGCTCTAAAATCAAACATACTCAAGAGGTTTAGAATAATGTTTTTATCTTAGGAACACGACATTTACTCAGGAGTAACTACACCCTAAATCCAACAGAAGTTGGTATCTTTACCAAGGCTGGTATCTTTAAATACCTACAGTATACTTGCACTTTATCAGTTTCAGGGAAAATGTGTATTTGGGAATTTATTCTTTTGAAAAGAAAAATGTCTTTCACCTCCTTAAGCCCAGGAATCCTAGGCATACACAATTTGTGTGTGTGTATTGTTTAACATTAAATTTAACCAAAAACTTAGTGTTTCCTGCTGCTGCATTTCCCGTACTTAAGCATCTAGAAAACAAAAAACAAACAAAAAATCCCACCCGTATCGGTAGCAATTAAGAAGTGCATAAGACAAGAAAATCTAGATGTTACCACTACAAAAAACCTTCAAAAATCAGCTTCCACTTTTTAATGTTAGGAGTATGTAACAAAGTCAAAAGTTTTTCCTTTTCCATCAACAATACAGGAGGCCAAAAAAAGAAATTAAACATATTTCCTTACGCAAATCCACCATTCTTCATACACAGGAAATCACACACTCATGAATCAAGTTTGTAAATTCTAGTCAGGAGCCAATTTACATTTATTCCTTCAACATTACAGTGAGGAAAAAAAAGCATACTCAAGGATTTTTTTAAAAAGTTATTTTCAGCCTTCAGTAGGCTCTTCCACACATGAAGAAAGGCTGAAGGATTTTTGTTAGTTTTTTTTTTTTTTTAAGGGGAAATTGGACATAAAAAAAATCTTGTTGCTCCTTATTTAAAAGCCTTGTAAAAATTCTTGTAGCTGTGCAACTACTTCTGTATCCACAGTTTCCATAAGCGCATGAA